ACTCCTACTGCTACTGCTACCTGCTACCTGCTACCTGCTACCTGCTACCTGCTACCTGCTACCTGCCACCTGCTACCTGCTACCTGCTACCTGCTACCTGCTACCTGCTACCTGCTACCTGCTACTGCTACTGCTACTGCTACTACTACATGTGCTACTGCTGCTACTGCTGCTGCTGCTTCTGCTGCTGCTACTACAACTGAAACTGCAACTGCAACTGCTACTGCTACGACTGCTACTCCTGCTGCCTCGGCGGCTACGACGACACGAAAAAGAGCACATGCATCGAACAAGGCTAAGCTGCAGAAGAAAACGAAACAGAATACTTACAGCAGAGTGATCGCTTGACCGCTCCGGCCTCTGGCAGAAGCCATGTTGCGGCACTCCCCACATCACCCAAATCCAAATCTTCGTCGGTGAAGGAGAGGTTGGTCCTGCAGATTACAGTGAAGTTTATTGGTCTAGGCCCAGCTTTCATCTTGTAAGGTATTGCTGCATTGGGGTTGGGATTTTAGGTTGAGGGTGTGACTTTTGTGGCTTCGACGTAGTGCCTTGGGTTGTCCGCTATGTTGGCTTGGGTTTGAGGCTCGGGAGCGGCTTAGGCAGCCGAGTGGCACTTGGAACTTCGTCGCTGCATCGACAAAGGACAGGGCTGCTGGCGTCGTCTGCTCAGCAATCGCCGAGCGAGCATAAACCTGACAGTAGATACGATCGAAGGTTCACAGTGGTGTCAGGATGGTGGCACGCAGCTTCTCGGAGAAACTCTACCGGACGCACAATTCGCAAAACTTGGGGTGGGACGGTAAAAGTCGTGAAGTTGCTGCGCAACGTCCCATCTGGAATGAGTCCTCTGATAGCGCTGAGTGGAGCCATGACGGCCAGCAACCGAAGATACTACTAAAGCCCTCTCTCCTCGAGTTCCCGAGCCCTTCGGTCCTTGGTCCCCGGCTCCGAAGGAAATTGCCCCACCAACCTCACAGGGACAACGCAGGCGCTGAACCGCCCCTTTCGACCCGCTGAGGTAGCAAATTGGCTCGTTTCTTCTCTTCAGCTGCCTGCGCTCAACAAAGCTTATACGCAGCTTTTTCACGAAGCAAGGAATAGCAACATTGAAGCAGCCTGCGAGCATCGCACGACGCTTCGCGATCATGGCTCACAAAGGTGTGAGGAGTGAAAAAAGCATTCATTCAAGCATTGATTTGTAGTTGCAGCTCCATAAAGCGCAAACAAAAAAACAGTCAAAGAAAAAGCTTACATACACTCCAACAACGAGCTTAACCTGCCTAAGTACTCTCTCGAAACTGCCGCACCTGAGAACGCCCTGTGCCGGCGGCGTCAAGCGCAAGGAAGAGGCCGTAGTCCTGCGAGTCCGACGAATGCTCACGAACGCACTTTCAACAACCATGATGCAGCATGCGACTCCGCATTACCGCTGCTTCTGCATTGTGACTCAGTGTTCGCTAGCCCTGTTCATGACAGCGCAACTATTTGCCGTGCTTCGTCCGCGAGGTCAAATCTTTTCGACCCGGCCTCAACACCTGCAACGCCTGGCGCGGGCGTCCAGCGAACCAGGCCACCCAAGTCATCCAGGTCGAGGTCCTGCGCTGAACAAAAAAGAAACACAGCGTGCTCAAAAAGGAGCAGGCAATCAGTACCACGATAAGTACAATGCGAAGCAGCAGAAGAAGAAAAGAGCAAGAGCAAGAACAAGCACCAAAACATCAAAGGCAAGAGCAAGAACAAGAAGAGCAACAGGAGCAGAAGCAAGAGCAAAGGCAACAGCCATGGCAACGGCAACAAAACAGCAGCCGCAGCAGCACCACCATCATGTCTCTCGCATCACCGACCTGACCTCCGTCATTGTTCTTGTTGCGATATTCGTTCTTGCACTTGTCATTCCCGGTAACATCGTTTCTGCGGTTCGGCTTTGTCTGTACAACTGTAAAGACTAGTGACTTGACTAGTGTTGGCACCTTGTTCAATTACATGACCCACTTTAGAATGACATTCCTGCAGATGACTCAGGTTTGGGGTGTCCTCAGAAAAAGCGAACTTTGGGTGGTTCGGCAAGCGGTCAACATCAGATTAGGCCAAGGCCACTACCACAACAACTACTACTATTGTTATTTCAATTTCTATTTCTTTTTCTCTTTCTATTTCTACTACTACTACTACT